AGGGTTTGGTGCACCCCACGCAGCTCACGCGAAAACTCCCAGCGTCTGTGGAAACCCGGCACCAAGTGCAGATATCGCCCCTGAGTTCCGTCTGGCAAGACAACTGGATTGAACCACGCTGGGCCCTGCACGCCAGAATCCCACTTGATGGCCCTCAGCTTGCTCTTTTTCTCCTTTCCCAAAAATCGCCGCATTTGTTATTCTCCTCGCGCCCCCTGAAACAAGCCTCAGAATTCATCCTCTTCGTCGCGGCCACGTAAACCACGTGCCACGAATACGCAGAACACAACAACGCCCATCATGATGAACAGCGCCGGCAAGAACATGCCGAACGGATTCGCGACCGCGCCCTTCGGACTGCGGCTCCACGCGGACTCCACCGAGGCATCGGTAGACATGTCATTGTAGATCGTCACCTGGCTGGCTTCTGATGTGCTCAGAGATGCCATGGCAGCCATCGACGCCGTGGTCGCCTTGGGTCTGGATGTCGCGGATCTCCTGGCCTCCTCCTGTCGGTCCTTGGCAGTCTTCTTCTCTGTGATCTGGAACGACCCTTGGAAAATTCAGCTGATCGCTCTGGCCCTCGAACGAACGGCTCGCAATTGTCGGGCTACCAGGGGCTGTCAGCTAGGTGAAACCGCCATCGAAAAAACTGGCCATCGAAAAACTGGCGCTCCGAGCTGACCCAGTATTAGCCCGTCGCGCTGGTAGTCATGTACTCCTTCAGCACGCGCACCTCGATGCTCGCCCGCTGGCCATCGAAGTTGCGCGCGCGGCGTCTCTGGGCAGCGCGGCAAAGCGCCTTCTCGCGTCCACCGCGAAAGCGCCCCTACCCAGAATCGCCGCGGCCCCTCTCAGCACGGGGCCCCTCGCCGGGTCGAACATCAGGCCGCAGCGCGCCCTCGCGTGCTCGAGCGCGCCCGCCCCGCCGGCTGCGGCCTAAGCCCCGCTCGCCAATGAAGATCTGCTCACCTGCTTGGTAGCTCTCAAAGAGCGCCAATTAATCATCGCGCACTTGACGGTCTTGCCGCTCAGCGCGCTCTTGGTCGCCGCAAGGATGAAGCATCCCCCCTGCGAGCTTAGATCTCGACGAACTGCCGGCGCGGCGCCCGTCATGCACGCGGGCGCCACCTCGCTGGGGTCGCCGCATATCGCAGGGAAGGCCCGGCACGCGTCGCCATTTCCCCTGCCGAATCGGAGCGTCTTGTTAGCGTCCGCACAATGGTGTCCTCGCTGACGGCGCCCCGTCCGAGGCCGACGCCGCGCTGCAAGCGGGGCGTCGCCAAGTTGCTGGGCCGCGCCGAGCTCCCAATGAAAACTCTTTCCTTTCGGCGCTCGCCGTCGTCGATGGCCAACATGCGATCGGTCGCCCGGTTCTTCGTTGCACTGAGCGGCTTGGGCGACTTGATGCAGGCTCCGCAATCCACATGGCAATCGCCGATGGCTGTCTCGCTGCGCTGCTTGCCGCAGAACTCCACAGAGGCGTCGCCTACCATGTCCAGCGCGCCCGCGGCCGTGCCCCCCCCCCCCCCCCCCCCCCCGCGTCCCGGAATAGGATACCTTCTTGAGATTCGCGACTCTCGAGGCGAAGCACGCCCCGGCTTCTGGCGACTGCCGCCATCTGGGAAATCCTCCACGCGCAGTTTGGCGGCCCCATCGAGCTCCGAGGCCCTCGCTTGCCCGCGCGGTAGCTCGCAGAGAGGGGCGGGATCGGCGGGCGAGCTGCGAAGCCGCATCCGATCAAGCGGTCGGCGGCCCCTTTCTCACCGGAGCCTTGGCGGGCCGCTCAGGCCGCGCATGCTCCTGGGCAGCTTCGCCCTGGCACCCGGCTGGCAGCCGAGCGCATCCTGCGCGCCTCGGCCGGCAGGAGCTCCGACGCCGCGGCCCGATCGCACCCCCTGGAGAAACGGCGCTGACGTCGGCGGCGAAGAGGTTCAACCATGCACGCGAGCGAACAGCATTGCGAACGTCCTGCACGATACGGTCATGGTCGGCGAAGATTTGCCCATCTCCCCTGCACTTGCTCCTGGGTCGCAAAAGCCCGGAATAATAAAACGCGCCTCTGCCTGGGCGCTGCCGCCGGCGTTCCGCGCCCGCGTCTGCAGGGGGCGCGCCCGATTTTTCCGGTTGGGATCCGCCACCTCGTTCGAGCCCTGTTCCCAGTCTTGTTTGCCGACGACGCCCTGTAGATCCGAGCGCTTCGCCTCCGCGAACTCTGCAGCGCTCCCGGCGCCCATATTCTCGCCCTCGTTGGTCTATGTTTTATTGGTCCTGGTCGGTGGCATTGTCGACGTCGAAAGGCTGTGAACGCACGCGGCGGCGCCATTTCTGCGGCGTCCGAGCTCCTCCTCATTTCTCCGAACCTCGCTGCCAAATGGGCCGCTGGTCGAACTGGGGCTGCGGGCTTTGCTGGGGCCTCCATCGCGGCTCGCTGCTTCTGTAGGTCAGGGTCGTCGCTGCCTGAGATTGCTCGGCCCCCCACAGCGGGCGCAAGCTCAGGCTCGCGGCTGGCGGGCATCGGCTCTGCCAGGGGCTCCGATCCCTGGGAGACACCTGAATGAACATGCCTTCCGCGGCCTGTTCCAGCGCAGGTGCTTAGACAGCTCCGGCTGCAAGGCCTGGGCCGGGTCTTCCCGTTGGCGGGCCCTCATCGGCGGGCCTAGGCAGCTGGCCGAGAAAGAACTGCACGAGACCTCCACGTCGCAAATCCTGCAGGACGGCTTGGGCCTGCAGCAAGTTCGCCGGTCGCGCGGGCTCGCCGCCCCGCCCCGCCAGGGTCTGACGTGGCCCAGGCCTCCAGCGCTACGCGCCCCCACCGCGCGCGATCCGACGCATATTGGGCTGCCCTCTCTCCGAGCCTTCGCGTGGAACCGCCGCTGCGGACCCCCATCCTGCGTGACATCTGGAGTCGGCGAGCTCCTCGATCGCGCCAGTAGTAGCACTCCTCGCCGACGTTCACGACGTCGCAGGCGTCGCGCCTCCTGCAAGGAAAGCCTGCGCAGACTCTCCGTCGAGCCCGCCTCGATGAACGCCGCAGCTGCTGCCGAAGTCTGGCCTAATTGCTGACATGGCTGAACGCCGCAGCGTCAGCCTTCCAGCTGCTGAACGCCGCGGCGATGCTTCTTTTCTTTTTTATACACGACGAATATGCCTCCTAGGAATGCTGGGACCATCGCACACGCCGTCGCCTTGCCGGACGCGCCGCTGCCAAATCGGACCAAAAAACCTGTGGCACGGGAAGAACTTCATGTGACGGGATTGCCCCTGGCGGCCAGCTGCTTGCAGTGACACTTGATCGTCTTCGGGTCCAGCAGCAGCGCTGGTCGCCCCACTGCCACGCATGGCCTCCGATGGGTCGAGTCCGCTTGGGTTGTGGATGCATCCCGTCTCGTTCCTCACCATTCGCGCCTCTGCCTCGTCACCTCCGATGCGCAGTCTCTTCTGGCTCTGGTGCGGGCAGTCCTTGGCGAAATGACCTCGACCTCCACATCGGAGGCAAATCGTCTCTTCGGTGGCCCGCGGTGGCGGATGCGGAAGCTGGGCCCGGGGTCCGCACCCAGCCTTGCCGCACCCCTTGGGTGCCGTCTTGCCTCCGCCTTCAGATGGGCCGCGCGCCGCTCCTCGTCCTTGTAGTGAAACTTCTCGAAGGACGATGGGCGCCGTGCTACGCTGTGGTGGCGGCACCATGGCGACCACCAAGTAGAACCTTCGAACCCATCACATGTCCTTCCATTTCTGCGTTGTGTCCGTACACGCTGCCACGATCTCGTTATATTTGTACACAAATGTACGCCTGGTGCGGCATGGGGCTGTTGATCGCTACGGCGTCGCTGTAGTAGGCCGCCTCTGCGTGCGTCGAAAATCAACCCTCGGAGGTTCCCTACATGATCCTCACCGCCGTTGTCGTAGTAAGTGTGCTCGTCCTCGTCAACATCGTAAGCGTCCTCTTGGTACCCGGCGTGTTCCTCGTCGTCGTCCACGTCGTAGCCTATAGCTCCTGAACTCGCCTGGTGGTTCGAAATCGAACCCAGGCCGAATGTGTTCTTCATGTCGCTCTCGACCTTGGTCATCGGGAGGTCGTATCCAACTTGATTCATGATGGGCTTCATTCCTTGTCCAACTCAAATTTTGACAACAAGAACCCACCAAGCACTGTCTCAAAAACCACACGATGTCCGAAACATCGTCGAATAGTCAATCAAGGTTCGTTGTGGGCATGCGGGCTGCCTTGAAGAAGGAATTATTGAAATCCGTCGGGGGTTCAGTGGTCTGATCATACTTGTCTGCCATGTCGCCAGGCACGAAAATGGTTTGCCAGCCCTTCCTCCTGTCCATATATGTTATCGGGCAATCCTCGGCAGTTCCCACGCTCGACCCAACAAGTCTTGTGTAATATCGAGCCCTACTCTTCCCTCATGCTCGCGTCCTCGAGCTCTCGCGGCGTAAATCTCCACCTTCTTCCGAAACGTCTCGTAGCCATCGGCCGATCCGTCGAACACTGCGGCTCCGCCGATGAATGCTGCCGAAGTCTGGCCAACGTCGTCTTGTCGTGCTGCTGCGGCTGTTCCTAAACCACCAGGCGGTCCCATGGGTGATGCTGAAGATTGTCCGTCTGTCCGTGGAGCAACTGCTCCGCTACCAATGTCAATCGGTCGAAGCTCTATCAGTCCTCGATCGCACTCGGCTTGAAGTCCGAAATCTGGCCGAATTCTTCTCGACATTCTCCCTCGGAATCGTTCTACGCGCGGGCTCGTAGCTCTATCGGTCAATCGAGAGGCCTCTCGAGCTCATATGACAATCCGGATGCAACAGGTCTGCACATGTGCATCACACTACTGCTGCGGGCTACACGGGGGCAGGGAAGAATCTAACACGTCAGCCAGAACAGCCTCTGAAACACCTCCGGAAACACATTGTATGGGGTGCAACTCGCACCTCCTCCGCCTCCTCCTCCTGCTCCCCCTCTTCCTCCTCCTGCTTCTCCCCCTCTACTCCCACGCCTTGATCATCCTGCGCTGCTCGTTCGACCTGCGCGGCGGCCCGCGCAGGAAGCGGTCCCCACGGAGAGGGCGCGGCGACTTTCGACGAGGGGCGCGAGGGGAAGGGAGAGGGAGAGGGGCACAAGGAAGCGAGAGTGGAGAGAGGGGGAGGGGGAGGGGAATGGAGAGGAAGGGAGAGGCAGGGGCAAGGGGACCTGCGCAGACACTACCTGATGATGGAGCCAACAACGAACCCCTCGGAGCTGAGACTCACCCGGGCAGAGCGTGGGGTGGGTTCGAGGATTGGGAGAGAGGCGGAGAGGGGAGGGGGGAGGGCGTGGGGAGCAGGGTGAAACGGCAGCGCAAGCATCGGCGGGCTTAGGACGGACGGAGGGAGGAAGATGCAAGAAAAAGTGGGCCTAGGCAGCAAGGGGGGAGAAGGAGGAGGACATCATGAACGACGAGCGGGACGCAGTCGAGGCAGTGGGAAGATGGGAGCGAGGGGGGGAGGCCTGTTGGAGAGATCGCGCGCCTCGGACTCCGCCTTCTCGATACGCACCTCGATTCTCCCGCACCCAGACGGCTACGACCGTCCTGATCCCGATATCCCCTCTCTCCGCGCACTGCTTACCCATCTCATCCGCCTTATCCTCCTAATCGTCCGTGTGGCCGCGCCTCCAGCACCGTGCGGGGTGCAACACGAGTCCCCGATTGTCCGTCATACTGACATGTTGGACTATAGTGGAGGGGAATCCTGGAGGCCAGGGTTCCCCACTTGCCGAACTCTTCTGAACGCCTTTGCAGGCTCCCAGGGCATCATCCGTGACTTGGGTCCGAAGCTGGGGACGATGTCCTGGAACCTGGGCCTCCGACACAGCCCAGCATGGGCCCAGGAGCCCGTCTTGGGGCAGACTTGGGGATCGTGTAGGCCGTCCTGGGGGGCCCTGGGAGCCGCTTCAGGATCCCAAGATCGCCCTGACACGGCCCACGTGCTCAAGAGGGGCGCAACGGGCCAGACGGCCTCAAGAGAGACCAGAAAGGGTCCCGCAAACTGACCCGAGGAACACGATTGGGAGTTCGCACCGTCCCCCCACCCGAAGGACGACACCAAGACCCCCAACATGACCCATGTCGCCGACACCAATCCCTGCCTTTGTCGCTAAAGCCAATCAGATGCCAAGAAACGTGAGCGATACAACCAAAGAGGAGCCCACCATGGCACACACAACCCCACGACAGCACAAGAGAGCACCAGACAGCACCAAGATGATCCACGAGGTCCCGACCACAACTCTCAAAGGACCCACGTGGCCTCCAAGATGGCCCCAGGCGCCCAACAGGGCCCCAACAGGACGCCCATTGTTTTGCTGTGGCGGTCTGATCTTCTCCACTTCGAAGACGCTCGGCTCAAGATAGCTCCAAAAAGGCAGCGAAATGTCAAACAAATCCCCAATGGATCCCGAGGTAGCCCCCAACATTGCCTGCAGACAGCCCACGACAGCCCCAAGAGGTCCCCTGGCTCCAGATGAGCCAAGGAGGGCCCATGAGAGCCCCAAGACAGCCCACGAGGGCCCCAGGGCGGCCCCAAGATGCACCCAAGACCAAGAGACCCCCAAGACAACCTGAGAGGGCAGCCCCATGATAACCCAAGTGCCCAAAAGGCCCGAAGAGGGTCCCCAGATACATCCAAGACTGCCCCATAAAAGGACGGCCCAAGAGAAAGGTCGCAGAGAAGGCCACCGAGACATTTAAGACCAGCCCGCGGGGCCTAAGGAGGCAACACGATGCCGTTTGAGAGACCCTCGAAAAGGTTCTCGCTGCGGCCACAGAGAGCGGCGATGAACCACCAGGGGCGACGTCGATAGCTTAGTAGGTGTGGTAGTAGTGATGAGGTTAATAGCATATTGAATAGTAAGATCAGAAACCCCACGCTCAAGAAAGGGAAACCACACAGGCGCCTGTGTCAGTGCCTCGATGAGCAAAATGCAGTATCCAGTGAAATAAAAACGACGTTCGCAGCAGAAGGATAGTTAGGAACACCGATGGCGCTTGAAAAGAAAGCCCACCACCGAGAAGCTCTCTCATTGTGGACGTTCTGCCCTCATCCTCTCGCTCTTCTCACCGCTTGCCTCGTCCCTCCCCGCCTCCCCAGCACATCAACCAACAGGCCCTATCTGCCGACCCCCACTCGCAAAGGATGCCCGCATCCATGGCCACGGGAAAGGACTGCCCCAAGGAAGCACCCCAACAGCAGGAGGATAGTGGGAAGGGGGCAGCAGGGGAAGAACAGGGGCGGGGGAGATGGGAGGAAAAGAGTGGAGGAGCAAAAACAGTACCAATGACACGCAGCCATGCGGAACCCATCAGCGCGCCACTGCAGAAGAAGCATCATGCTTTCGGACATTATCGACAGAGCAACACGCCGGCTGGCTACCAACGGCGGCGTGTCATTGCTGCCTTTCTACTCCTTCCTGGTGGAACGCAGAACGGCATAAACATTATTTCTCCGAGGTCCGCGCGGGCTCCGCTCGCAATGGAGGAGGGTCCAGCGCCGATCCAACAAATCCGTGCGCGGCGAGAAAAAATGCCTGTGCCATTTCTTGTTTCCCGGCAGAAGCGAGGGAAGGAAGTGGTATCGCTACCTTGTCCTGCGCTTGGAGGGGGCGCGAGCGAGAGACACCACTCTCGAGCGGGCACAAGCGGTCCGCGCCAACACCGCGGCGGCAGCGCGCCCTGGCACGCTGCAACTGGAAGCAGGCGGCTTCTCCCCGCGGAAGCGTCGGCCGACAGCGAGACGCTCGTAAGGAAAGAAGACTGGGAGGCGGAGGAGCCCCCCCTCATCTCCCCAGATCCCCGACGATACGTCTTTTGCAATCCGGGCGCGTTTTCTCCGTGTCGGCCTCTTGGGCCCGCGATCGGGCCCCAGCCGTGGATCCAGGACACAAAACTATCCCCGAGGAGTGCTGGGACACATGGAAGGAGAGGGGCGCCGAAGGAGCTTCCCGCCATTTCCTGCCGATGCCTCTGGTTCCCTGTATGTCGGGCCGGCTAGGTACATGGAGAAAGAACGCGATACGGCGGCACGCCGACTATAGCCGCGTTTGATTGGAGAGGGCACGCAAGAAGACAAGAGACTCTTCCGATAGCAGCGTGGCCCCGAAACCAGGGCACCCTTGCCGGAGGGATGCAGAAGACATGAGACGCGGCGCACAAAAGACAAGGGCGCCTTTGATTTGGCAGGGTCGACTACTAATCAAACTCGACTGTAGCGCCGGCTGGGAGGTGCACATCGAAGGGGGACGCAGGCAGATTTGTTCGCAGTCAGCACTGCAGCCACAGCGGGGCGTCCGAGCACGCCGATGAGTTCCGAGTCGGAGACCGCTTCGCGACAGGCCACGCCCGAAGATGCCGATAAAGTCTGAATCAAAAGAGTCACACGGGGAACTTTAGGCAACTCTGGGAGGTCTTCGTCAGAACGACAACGGGCTAGAAGCACGATTAGAGGGCCCTTGGCCCGGATAAGGCCAGGTTAAGTCTGTTAAGCCTGGGACGCAGCCAGATTACACGGGATTGAGCCTAGGACGCAGCTTGGGATGTACCAGCGCCGATTCAGAATTTGAACTTCCCAAGGATTGCACCCTAGGAAGCCGTCACAAAAAGGAACGCCTTTTCACAATCCGCGGGCCGCGACGACCCACACATGCCATACAACCATACCACGCATGGCGACGAGTTTGAGGTCGTCTGTCGGAGCGACGTGCCAACTCCTGATCGCAAGTCAGCTGAAGCAGCTTTCGCTGTGAAAAATTCCACCCCTGCTTGCATCCCCTGCTGAGCAGCCTTGGCATCGTTGTGCCTCAACTTTTCCTCGTTCAACTTCTGTTCGAACTGCTCCTGTCGGCGAGGCTGCGGCGCAAACACATTACGGAGAGGCGTCGGCTGGCCCTGCGTTTCGGGTGCCCCAGCGTGTCTGGAATAACTCGCGGCGACGACGACTGCAGAGACGAGGCCACACAATGGATGCCGAGGCACTGATCAGCGCCGTGACCTGCCCATGACCCTGCGGAAAAGGAGCGATGCGAGGAGCTGCGGACCCAAGACTCAATACCCTAGACGCGGCGACGCCCGCGCGGGGGGGTCAGATTCCAGAAGAAAGACGATACGACGGAGGAGACGGCGACGACGACGATACTTTACAGCCCTGACCGCCGAGCAGTGTGGCCAGGATCAGGAGTGAAAGAGCAATCTCCCTTGCCCTTGCCATTGTCCTTGCCCTCGAAGTGGCAAGGCTGGAAGCAGGCAGGGGAACAGGAGGGTTTTTTAACCCTGAAAATTTGGACGCCGGGACGCTCCCCCGCCGACCACGCTGGTAGAATGTCGGCGGACCGAGACCCATTCAGAGCCGATCTTCTGCTGGACCACTGGTTGCAAGCGCTGAGAAATGTAGGCAGGATCCGATCAAGAATCCTCCAAGTAAATTGAAGGGGCCACGATGATTCACACCCCCATTGAATTCCCCGATTTCGGCCGTGTGATAGGCTGGCCTTCTCCGCACGCAGCTCCGACAACTGCACCTCCAAAGCGCGGGTGGCGTCGTTATCCTGCGCAGGAGCAACGGGTAGGGTGCAGGAGTGGAACAAGTCAGCAGTGCAAGACTTGATAACGAAATTATCCGGGCGAAGGGACCAACCATATGAAGCTGCGGGCACCCCTAGGCAAGTGAGAAGAAGCAGAAGGGACGAATGAGAGGTGCCCCGAATCGGGTAAGGGTACGCCATGCGGGCCCTACCTCTGGGACCTTCGGGGGACTTTTGTATGGGGACATGAAACGTGCGAGGGGTGTTACGAATCGAGAGCGGGTATGCAATGCAGGCCCTGCTGCTGGGGCCTTCGGTAGGGCTCCCTACGGGGCCACGAAACGTGTGCTGGGCGTCCCGAATCGGGCGCGGGTACGCCATGCGTGCCCAGCCGCTGGGGCCTTCGGTGGAGCTCCCTATGGGGCCACGAAACATGTAAGAGGTGTGCCGAATCGGACGCGGGTACGCCATGCGTGCCCAGCCGCTGGGTCATTCGGTGGAGCTACCTACGGGGCAACGAAACATGTGAGCGCTGCGCCGAATCGAATACGGGTTCGTCATGCGGGCCCTGTCGCTGTGGCCTTCCGTGAAGCTCCCTACGGGGTCACGAAACGTGTGAACGGTGCGCCGAATCGGGTGCAGGTACGGCATGCGGGCCCTGCTGCTGGGGCCTTCCATAGAGCCCCCGTATGGGGCCACGAAACGTGTAAGAGGTGTGCGGAATCGGCTGCGGGTACGCCATGTGGGCCCTGCCCCTTGGGCCTTCAGTGGAGCTCCCTATGGGGCCACGACAAATGTGCTGGGCGTCCCGAATCGGGAGATTGTACGCCAGGCGGGCCCTGCCGCTGGGGCCTTCGGTGGAGCTCTCTACGTGGCCACGAAACGTGTGAGGGGTGTGCTGAATCAAGTGCGGGTACGCCAGGCGGGCCCTGCCGCTGGTCCCTTCAGTGGAGCTCCCAACATGGGGCCACGAAACGTGTGAGGGGTGCGCCGAAACGGGAGGGTACATACGCCATGCGGGGCAAGCCGCTAGGGCCTTCGGTGGAGCTCCCAATATGACGCCACGAAACGTGTGAGGGGTGTGCCGCATCGGATGCGGGTACGCCATGCGGGCCCTGCCGCTGGGGCCTTCAGTGCAGCTCCCAATGGGGCCTCGAGACGTGTGAGAGGTATGCCGGATCCGGTGCGGGTGCGACATGCGAGCCCTGCCGCTGGGGCCTCCGCTGGAGCTCCGTACGGCGTCTGAAACGTGTGAGGAGTGTGTGTGAGTGTGTGAGGGGGGTGATAGTAATGACGATGATGTTGATGATGATGAGGCTGATGATGATGGTGATGATGATGGTGGTGATGACGATGATGAAGACGACGACGACGACGATGATGATGATGATGCGGATGCTGCTGATGATGCTGATGATGACAATGATGGGGTGGTGGTGACGATAATGGTGGTGATGGTGCTAATGATTATGATACTGACGATGCTTATAGTAATGATAATGATGCCGATGATGGTGCTGATGATGATGGTGCTGATGATAATGATGGTGACGGAACTGATGACCATACTGCGAATGGTGATGGTGATACTGATAATGGTGATGATGATGGTGGTGAGGATGATGATGGTGAGGCTGGTGGTGATGATGGTGATGCTTATGGGTATGATGACACTGATGATGCTGATGATGATGGTGATGCCGATGGTGACACTGCTGATGATCATGATGATGATGATGATGATGGTGCTGGTGGTGGTGAGTCTGGTACTGACGATAATGGTGATGATGCTAAACATGATGATGATGATGATTATGATGATGGTGGTGATGAGGATAATGATGATGGTGATGATGCCGATGATGATGATGCTGACGATGATGATGATCATGCGATTATGATGGTGATGATGATGATGATGATGATGATGATGATGATGATTCTGGTGATGATGATGATGATGATGAGGATGATGATGCTGATGGCGATGCCGAAGATGAGGGCAGACGCAAGGAGGGGGAGAAGGTAGGATGGGGAGGAGGAGGAGGAGGAGGAGACGCTGGGACTGTCTCGTCAGAACCAGGGCCCAATCCCACAGGATGATTGGGGGGAAAAAACTCCGACTACCGAAGACCGCCCTGCAGATCCACTCACTCTGAAAAATGATGACAGCGGTGAGAATGAGAATATCACTTGACCTTCCAAAGGCCAGTCTAGAGTGGTTCAGCTTGTTTCCGGCGCCACCCTCCAAATGGCGCGGAAAGATCTCCCGCTTCCTTACAATGTCACCCGCGAGGCCGAGCACCGTGCAGACCGTTCGAACGCAATCATGATTAGGTGTTAAGCCCCCAAGCCTGTGACACAGCATCGCGGGCCACCATGGAAGAATGAATACGCCTAAGGCGCCCAACAAGCTGAGCTCACAGTCGCCTATGATGATGCCGAACAAACGTTGAGAATCATGAAGCTGATGGGCTGACATATTATATACACATGTGTACACTAAAATCCACGGCGCGCGATTGACCTGGATGCAAAAAAATTGGAAACGGACTACGTACGGGCCATGTGGCAGAAGTAAACAGAACCATGAAGAAAGGAATCTGGTTAAGTAGAATGACTTTCGCCCCGCCACCGACAAAGAGGAGCGAACGCAGGAAGGCGCACAGCGTATACTGGGCTATGGGCATGAACCAATACCTGCTGCCCACGAACTGTATGCACTCCCCTGCCTCAGATTTCAAAGTCCCACACTTGGTCTACTACCACCCCCTTAAAGATGCCAGCGTTGGTCGTGGTCGATGGAGTCGCGCTCCGTTTCACGGACCTCTGGCGTCGAGTCCCAGGCAATCCCGCTGCGCTCGAACCACACATGCGACTCGCGAGACACGAACTGGGTCCTTGAAGTGCGAAACACTCCATACCTTGATCTCCAAACGAGAACACGCTCCCCCACCTCCCCTTCGCGCTGGTTTGCGAGGCCTTTTCGCGAAGGCACAATAATTTATGACAGACAAGCTTCCTCGAAGATATCCCGCCTCCGTGCCGTAGGCACCCAGCGGAGTGTTCTCAGGTCCCTTCGACGAATTCTCTGAAACAAGCATTGCAACGAAAGGCTTCCAGGGCCCGGGCCCTGAACTCACATATGCTCCTGGGCATCTCGCGTGACTTGTTGGGCTTGTGGCGTGACGTTCGGGGGTTGACGCGTGAATGTTGCAGAGGCATCGGCAGCGTTGTTTGGGATACGCATGTCCCACATGCACGAAGAGGGTGGTCCATTGGGGTCCATCCCGAGTCCCTCGTGGAAGCCTCTGGGCCTGTGTTGGGAGCCCTCGGGCCTGGCCGAAGAAGCCGGCATTGCATAAATCCCGTACCAGTTGAACACACTTCGCACATTCCCCCTCCCTGCTTGGAGAGCATCCCAAAAAAGCCCTACAGGCTCCCAAGATACCCCAAACACAATCCAAGAACTCCCAAGAGGGGCCCAAGAGAGGCCCACAAGGCCCCCACGACGGCCCAAAAAAGGACCCAAGAAGGGGAACCGTAACTGGCATCTGGAGCCCTCCACCACGAGATGCCCACAAGAGCACCCCGGAGACGCCTACAAGAGGCCCACGAGGCCATAAAGCAGCCCCTCAGACGCCCGACGAGGCCTCCAACAGGCCCCCGAGGAGCCCCCCAAGAGACCCAAGAAACATCCAAGAGGCGTCTTGTCCACGACCATGGTATGGTGGCGAGATTAGCCGAAGGCCGCGCTATTTAGTTGCACAGATCCCACCAGCTCTCGGCGAATACACCGACGTTCAATATTAAGAAAACCAAGAAATAAGACATGTTACGGCTGAACTGGGGCCTCGAAAAATTAAGAAAGTAGCAACTGAATTCGCCCGCAGCTTCCTACGACGGCCCAGCCACTCCAGGCTTGGGGCGAACAAGAAAGCCGACGGACAAGCGAAACCAAACGAAAATAAACAGCACCAGCCAGGGAAGAGGCAGCCGATGGGCCGAGCAGACGTGGGGCGATCGACGGGCCAGGCGAGATCACAGGAACCGACGGGCAAGCGAAAACAAGCCCGAGCAACGAAAATCTGCCAGGGAAGAGGCAACCATCATGCGTTGCGCGGCAATTGAGCAAGAAACCGATCGCAGAAGAAATTGCCAGCACCTGCAATGCCCAACCACGCCGCGTCATCAGAAACCAGCAGGGGCTGCAACGAAACAACAACCTTTTTATTGACCGCCGTCGGTGTGTTTGATTCAACAATTAAGTTATGCGAAACCCTTTTTTCTCTACTCGGGGAGGGGCTTACCCCTCCCCCTCCCTCGCCTAAGCAAAGGGATCCACACCCTCTTCGCGACTTGTTGCCTCCCAGCTGGCACGGCAACCAAGCGAGCCGATCGCCCTGGCGAGGCTCACACGGCTCGGCCGGCGCATCGCCCATGTGCTCCGTGATGGTCCCCAGTGTTCTCTTGAGGGCGGCCTCCTGGACCATTTTGTACGTGAGTGCCTACGCGGCTAAACCGATGTCAACGGCTCCGGCGTCCCTTCATACGGCAGAGCTCATGAATGAGTATCTGTGGCAGCACAGGATTGGATGAACGTTTTTGGGCTTGAGCCAGAGAGGGTAACAGTACACCAAGCACACACTGCAACTCGGTAGGACGATCAAGGTAATGATCTCAAATGCTAAACCTAATACGTAAAATCTGGAGATCAGTCACACCCGTCTGACTTCTCCTAGGTTTAGCACCCTCTTGGGCTCAACTAAATGCAACTATCCGTTCCTGTGTTGGAACGGCCCCCTTCTCTACTTGAACGGAGAGGGGATAGCAAATAGCGGCAACTGCACGCGAGAAAATTATCACTGAAAGAGCGGAGATGGCAAGGGCAAAATGCACGTAGATGATTCAGCTGAGAAAAGGGAGGAGGGGGGAGGAGAACCGACACCACCACCACCACCACCAGCTGAGCTTCCCGACAGGAACTGGATCCACGTGGGCTGTGACTCTCGGGCAAGTTCCTC